AAATATGCTAGTTTAAATTATTGTTAAATGATATAAATGACAAGACTAAAAGAAGCAACAAAATATGGTATGTTTTGAGTCATGAACCATGATAAGATGTTATTGAGGGGAAAAAAGGAAAAAACTTATACATGATTTGATATCCGGGCGCACTTCAAATTAAATAAACATTGAGTTATGTTTGCACTATTTATTAGGATATTTTGTGTGTCAACTTACGACTTACAAGTTAACGGTAACATATTTTTATATATACTTTTCAATCTTTAATCAGTGTCACTTTCATTGTACAAACATAGTTCAAAATGCAAATATAAGATTAGAACACTAAGTGGAAAGAGTTTACAATCGACGTACCATAAATGTAAGCTTCTTTTATATGATTTCTCAACAAAAATAAAGTAATATTTTGAGAAAAGTATCAAGATTTTAACATACAGATTTCTTGTACATTCATATATATAGTATGAATAGTTAATTTTTAAAGAATTAAATATATTTTTAATCTTATAAAGTGAGTTAGTTTTTATTTTGGCATTTATAAATTTTTCTTTATTTTTATCTCTTTAAAATTAAAATTATTATTTTTAATTTCTAAGTATTATGTGATTTTTGTTACCTACTTTTATATTTATCGTATAATTATAAGATCATCTCTAGTAACACTTACAACATATTTGATACCATTATTTAGTATGTAACACTTCTATTTTTTTTAATAAATCATGAAAATATATTTTTTTTTATTTACCTTAAAATGAACATTAGAGACAAAGCTAGTGATTTTAGGTTTTAAAATGTAAGAATGAAAGAAAAATATTTTATATAGCCTAAATTCAGAATTTGCTCATTTTTTAGAGAATAAAAAAGACAATTTCAAATTTTAATGAGATGAAAATCCATTAATAAACAAAATTCATCAAAATTTCCAAAGACATCCAAACTTGTATGTTCTTATTTAATCACTTCAGAAGAGTTTTGGGAATTTTATTTGCGTGATCACGGCAACTTTAAATAGATCATCATGTAGAATATTTCCTTGAAGTAAACTTAACAGATTATTCATCACGTACGCACGACACATTATTAATATTCAATAACATATATAACGAATGTATTAGTTTCAATTGAATGGATTTAAGAAATGCTCTGGTGGCGAACTTTTTTACTTTTTCCATCAAGTTTGACCTAATTGTGATACTTGCGATAGTGATGGGAGAAAATTCTATGAAGAAACTGCGTCCCGTCATTAACTTATTTACTATACTACATTATGCATTAAACATTTTTCTCTTCAACAGTTCAACCCTCACATTTTTCACGGATAGTGTTAGGTAAGACATATCAAGTATCCTAATTTTCTATCCCTCCGCAACAAAATATATCTTAACTTAAAAAAGGAATTTTTAGACCACTAGGGTTAGTCTAATAGTTAGGTGAGGAGGGGTTTAGGTAGTTAGAAACATCAGGACCTAGGTTCAATTCTCATTGCGACCATCTTTGTAATATTTCTTATCTTTAAAAAAAAAAAAGAAGGAATTTTTAGCACAAAAAGTTTTTACTTTCTTAAAAATTTGATTAAAAAAATGTTAATTTTTTTTTTACATTTGATTTGTTATTTAAAAAATAACATTCTTAGAAAATATTATTTTCTGAAAATAATTTTTGCATAAATTTCTCACAAAATTATTTTTCATTAAGAGGTGAGAAACTAATTTTTTGAAGTAAAAATAAAATTTTAATATAATAAAAATGTTATGTTACTTTTATTTATTTATTTAATGTAGAAAAAATGTTTAATTTTTAGATAACATTTAAAAATATTCTTAAAAATATTTATGGTCAATCAAACAATTTTTCATGATTTTTAGAAATTATAATTTTCAAGATTTATAATTTTCAGAAATTATATATGATTTCTAAACATAAAAAAAATTGTGTATCAAAGATTCCCTAACTATTAGATGTTAAATAGTCTATATTAGTAATTTAATCAGTATTGCTCTTTACCTAGTAAAAATGAAACTGTTAATACAAATATTGTATGTTTATATACTGATTAACACAATAATATATCATATACTAATACTAATTAATATAATGATAATATATAGTAATGTCTATATTAATGAAATTGTTCGTCACCAACACAAATATTATATATTAATATTTTTGGGTGTAAATGTGGTGAATCGTGAAGAACCGAAGGAAAGATCCGCACACGGACGATCCCAAGCCCTGGGAATCCCTTCCGCAGCTCCTGGAGGCGCCCAATGTGAGAATGGAGAGAAAGATCCCCGAAAATGGCTTCAAATACGAGCCTGGGAGATCAGATTAGGGTTCCGCGCCCGGCGCACAATTCTTCGCGCCCGGCGCAAGTTCTTCCAGAGAAGTCAAGCACTCTCTGTCTCAACACAAGCCCGGCGCAATTCCTTTTGCGCCCGGCTTAATTCCTTTTGCGCCCGGCTTAATTCCTGGCAGAGATGAAATACTCTGTTTTTGTCACGCCCAGCGCAGGTTATATTGAGCCCGGCGCAGAGCCTCTTCTCTGCTCCTTAGCTTCTTAGGTTTCCAATCCTAAGAGTCTTCAACTTTCCACTCTTCCTCAATACCTGCACAAAAAAATGAGGTGGATTAAGGTATTGTTAGATGAATTTGGGTTAGTTATATCTGCACACAAAATGAACCAAAAAGAGAACAATTATATTGCAATGGTTCAAAGGATGAGTGGAATTTGTTCAATAAGTCTCATCCAAAAAGAGGTAAAATTGAGACTTAACAGCTTCCAAAAGGTCAAAAAGCCATCAAGAGGAAATGGGTGTACAAGATCAAACGAGATGGTAACGATCAAGTGAAGCGGTATCATTCAAGATTGGTGATTAAAGGATATGCTCAGAAAAAGGTATTGATTTCAACAAGATATTCTCACCTATTGTCTGATTGACCATAATTAGAGTTATTCTTGCTATGTGTGTTGCATTTCATTTACATCTTGAGAAACTTGATGTAAAGATTGTTTTTCCTCATGGAGAACTTGAAGAAGAAATATATATGTTCCAACCAAAATGCTTTAAAGAACAAGGAAAAGAAAACTTGGTTTGTAGGTTAACCAAATCTCTGTAAGGTTTAAAGAAAGGGCTGAGATTTGATTCCTTCATTATTAGCCTTGGTTACGATAGATTGAGTTTAGACCATTGTACATGCTACAATAGGTTTGATGACAATGATTTCATCATTTTACTATTGTATGTGGATGACTTATTGGTGGTAGGGCGCCCCAACAAAGGTTGAATGTGAGAATTGAAGGCACAATTGGCTAGGGAGTTTGATATGAAGGACTTGGGATCATTGAACAAGATTCTAGGGATGCAGATTTACCGAGACAGAAAAGATAGGAAGTTTTGGCTTTCTCAGAAAAACTACTTGTTGAAAGTCTTGTGGCGCTTCACATGCAAGGTTGTAAGCCAATTTCTACCCCTGCTTCCTATCAATTGCAAATTATCTTCAAGTATGAATCCTAGTAATGATGTGGAGAGGATGGAAATGTCTTGAGTACAGTATGCATCAATAGTGGGAAGCCTTATGTATGCCATGATATGCATAAGACCGGACATCGCACAAATAGTGGGAACAGTTAGTAGGTTCATGGCAGATATTGGTAGAGAGCATTGGAATATTGTTAAGAGAATCCTTAGATACATTAGAGGAACCTTAAGTGTTGCATTATGTTTTAAAGGATCATAATTTATTGTTAATGGCTATGTAGATTCACATATTGCAAGTGATTTGGATAAAAGGAAATCTACTACTGGTTATGTGTTTACACTTGTTGGAGGAGTAGTAAACTGGTTATCCAAATTATAGACTATTGTAGCTTTGTCTACTATAGAATCTAAATACATAGCAGCTACCTAGGCATGCAAGGAAGCAATCTAGATTCAAAGGCTAATGGATGAACTTGGGCACAAGCAACAAAAGACTACTATGTATTGTGATTATAGAGTGCCTTGCACGTACATTGCAAGGTTCAACTTTTCATTCCAAGACAAAGCACATAGAGATACAATACTACTTTGTTCGTGAAGTAGTAGAAGAAGGAAGTGTGGATATGCAAAAGATTCACACCAAAGACAACCTAGCAGATGCGATGACAAAGTCAATTAACACAGACAAGTTTATATGGCGTTGATCCTCTTTTGGCCTATTATAAACATAAGGATATCAAGATGGAGAGATATTTGAAAGTGCACAAAAGTAGCTCTAGGAGGGAGATTGTGAATTTGTGTGAATGTAAAGTCATTTTGTAGCAACAAAGTCAACAATAGGAAGATATAGGTTGTAGAATTTCTATGAGCAATTGGTTGGACGGTATTTCTACCTTGCATTAATAGCTATGCTCCATCCCTTCTATAAATAGCACTTTCCATGCTTCATTTTTACCATTTCAAAATTGTAATTCCTCATTTGAGATAGTTAGAAGTTAGAGTGTCTCTACGTGAGTGTGTTCTTCTATTATAAGAAAGAATGTGTTATTGTTCTCCTGTATTTAGAGAGGGTGTAATTTTTCTTCCACTTAGTGAAAGCATTTCTCTAGTCTTGCATGTGATTTTTCCTAATCAGCTGAAGGTTTTTCACGTAAATATATTATGTTAATTCTTATTTTCTCATCTCTTATTTTAGCTAAAAGTTATTATTTTGTTACTCTAATATTCAACACTAAAAACCTTTTAAAAAGCACCTTTACTTAGAGTTTTAATGTTATTCCATACTAATCACTATATAAATATCTAGGAAAAAAAATACTCTCTTTCCATAAAAGCATTTATTTTATTATTTTTGTTCTTCCATCTTTCTCATTTTGTTAAAATATGTGGTTTCTAGTCAACTATACCGCAAAGTTGTGCCTGCTTGAATTTTATATTCGACCATCCTCATTTAAATCAGTGTATTATGCAAGTGCAACTTAAAAGGTAGATTGTATCTAACACCAAGACAAAATCAATAACAAAGGATTGTGATGCCTTCATTTGAATTACTTTATACAAATTACATGTGTATATATACAAATCTATTATTATCCAATGTTTATTTACCTACAAAGTATTTACAAAATAATTGTAAGTAATTAAAGTAAGTACTCGATGTATGGAATCTAAAACTTCCTGATATGTTCAACGGTTAAACTATTGGTCACGCCTTTGTGCCACAGTCACTTCCACAATGGGTAAGGGTTCTTGCTTTTTAACGATGGAATTTTCTGGATGAATATCAAGAAGACCAATCCCTGCCTTATTTTGTTGCTGCACCACCAACACAGACCCATCAAAAGTAGAATCTGAAGACACTAACATGTCTGCTATAAGGCCAAGTTCTGGAAATTCGATCCACTCTGTCAATCCAGAAAACAACGAAGACTCGTTCTGGTGGCGTCTACCCACCAAAATCAAATCATAGCAACCTTCAAGCGACCTAATGACATTGACCATTTCCACACTATCTCTCACAGCTTCCTCTCTATAATCATGGCGTTTGATATGAATGTAGTCAACCATAAACTTGTGAATCAAGTCACCATCAGGGTCTCTACTGGCCAAATTTCTACTCTTCCTGCGAGGCTCCATTAATCGAATTACTGTGACCTTTACATTGGGGTGATCAGCCATGCGCATTGCATATGCCAAGGCTTCACGGTCATCTGCCCCTTCCACAAACAAAATTCCAACACTGTAGAAGGACATACTTGTTAAAGGGTTATTACTGATCAAGTTGCCACGCTCAACTAGGATCCCAACGGAGCAAGGCGCAGTTCTTAGCAAATGGCGGTTCAATGCTCTTATGGGTTGTGCTGATTCCAAAATTTGAGTTGGTCCACACTGCTTATGAAAAGGCACAATCAACATATATGCTCGTTTCTTTGCCGCTTGCAAGCATATCTCATCATGCATTGTCTCATAAGGGGATATGGATGTGAGGACTTTCACCATCACATTGCCCATTTGTTGGTTCTCGTATGATTTGAAGGCATTTCTTATGTTCTGTGAATAAGAAGACTTCAATGGATTAACGGACTTATTGCTGGCTTCATGGTCGATTAAAACTGGTGCCGATCTTCCTGTTAGCTGAATGAGATGCAGAACATATAAGCAAATGGGACTCTCAGTTGAGGAGTTGGACATTTCTAGAACATTGATCAAGGGTGGGGTGTTTTCTTCATGGTATATGCATGCCATCAAAGGAAGTATAGTACGGGGAGGGGCATGCTCAATGGTCCTCCTCCTGTTTAAGGACAAGTAACTCTTGGTTGGGTCATACATGAATTTCACTATGGGTGTGGAAGCTGCTGTCAACCACATTAAAGCTACTACCATTTGAGCGTATGATTGATCATCTATAATCTGCAAGACATGTTCACATTCAAATTGGCTATTATATAAAAAATGGAAAATTGTACAACTAATCATTATTAATGACATTGCACTCGTTTGATCTTTCTCTTTTGCAAATCCATTGCCATATGGAAGCTTCAGGATACCATGTTCTTTTTGTGACAGCAAAGAGGCTTGGAGTATGTAATAGAGTTACAATTAGGTACTTCATTTATGTAATATCTCATTGATGTATTTGGATTGGGGTACCCTTGTACTCAATATTTCATTAATATATTTTGTAAAACAAACATTTGCATACCAAAAAAATTAATGAAAGGATATATGCATTGATGTAGATCTTTGCTTGATACTGAAATGAATTCACCTAACACTTAGAATAAGCAGAATAAATGTTATTTGTAGACTCTTACATGAAGGTATTGTAAATTCTGGAAGTGAAGAATATGTGTCATGCCTTGGGCACCCATGATGAGACCTAAGATGAGAGCATCAGTGAGTGGCATGTTGCAGTATATTGAGGGCAACATGGTTCCTATCACCTTCCCAAGGAAGCCAAAAAAGGCCACAGGCTGCACAATTGCAAAGCTATAGGTATCAACTAGATGGAGTTTAAATTTGGCACTACTAGTGAGGAAGAACAATGGCATAAGCACTACTGAAACGAAGGTATCTAGCCTTTCTACCAATGCTGATCCAAGAGGTGGACCTTCTGGCACTGCTAGGCCAAGAATTATAGGCCCAATCAAGTAGTGCTCCCCGATGAACTCACCAAATAAGGAACACCCCAACACCATAACGTAGACAGAAACTAAGTAGGACTCTTTCATAGGCCTCCCTTTGGGTGTCCTGCGTATCATCCATAGCATAATAGGTCGAAGAACACATAGGATGATAATCACCATAACACACAGAGAAATTGCTATCCATTTGGAGGAAGACTGGTATGTGTCTTGAAATATAATTTTTTGTTGTCGTGAGACTGCAATAATCTGCCATATCGCACAGAGTACTCCATTTACCATTGATGAAGAGATTGCTAATCGACCAACCTCTGAATTTAGGAGCTTGAAGTCTTCTAAAAGATTCGCAACGACTTGAAAGGAACCAGCTGATGAGAAAGCTGCTATGTAAAATAGGGACTTGTAGATATCTGTCCCTGGGGGCAAAACTTGACGTAGAAGAAAAGCATAAAATATGCTAAATGCGAGTGGCAACACAAAAGAACACACGCCAATGGCCCAAGTCTTTCTCCCTGTTCTCATCACCATAGATATATCAATTTTTACTCCCATCGAGAAGAGGAATATCATGGTTCCCAAAAGAGAAATCGTCTCACACACGAAGAAAGGTTTTGGGGCGAAAAAAAACTTTTTAAGGCATTTAAATTGTCCCAGTACCGATGGTCCCATTAGAAACCCTGCCTGAATGAATACATGCATTTCCAGAACCAAATTAAGTATTAGCTCAATGCATGCATTCCCAATTCAACTTTACACATCAATCAAATGCCAATACTTTTATGCATCAATATCTCTTTTGGCTTATATTTCTTTTTTTTTTTTAAATAATATTTTATGATATCATACGTACTTCCAAAAGAATAATTAAATAAATAAATCATTTTTTCATAATTTAAAATTAGTTTATTCATAAACTAATTTGTAATTTTTTTTAAAAAGATATATGATAAAGTTTCTATAAATTAATTTATGCCTAAATTAATTTTAACTTATAGAGAAATTTATATCTATTTTTTTTTTCTAAAAATGTTTCTAGAGAAAATTATTTTAAGAGACTCATATAGAATTTTTTTTATTTTTGTTTAAACAAACATTATTTTTCAAAGTTAGAAGAATTACAAAACATCTATATATGTACGTGTGTGAGTGAGTGTATGTCAGAAAATATTATATTACCATGGCTTGTGAAACAAAGGTTGTTTCCCCAAGTGGCATCAAAATGAATTCCAACCATGCGTTTGTAAAACAAACTAAGGAGCCTTGTAGAATGACCACTAATACTACGAAGTTTAAAGGGTTTTCTCCAAAGAATATTCCTTTTGAACTTTGAAACAAAGTTGTGTCTTCGCAAATCCATATGCTTGTGTTTAAGGAAAAGGTGGTATTCGAGATTGTGTTCACCATTTGGTAGCCGGAAGAGACACTTACAACAAATCAAGCATTATTTACAACAAGCATAATATAATTAATCTGCATGGAAGTTATTATTGGAATGAAAAGGAAGAGGAGAATGGAGAAGAAGGAAATAATAGGAACAAAGTAGCCCATGCACCACCAACTTTTTGAGAATTATTAAATTCAAGCGTCAACGCTGAATTGCGGGTTGGTGACTTAAAATTAGTTTTATATTTTGTGATTATAGTTGATGGTGATATTTTTAGCAGTTAATTAGTGGTGTTGGGGTGAGACTGCAAACTGGTATATAAAGCCACAAATTTCTTTACTTTAGATTAGTGGGTATAATTTACAGATACAAATATCAAGATTTATTGGCAGTTAATTAACATAGATTGCCCACCAAAATCAGATTAAGCGATCTGCAAAATCTTCAACAATCTCATGCAATGCATGCATGCAGATTACACACTATAAATAGGTCATAAGTTATCTTTATCACCGTATCAAATGGAAAGGGTCGTCGTTTAGTCGTTTGATTGGAGTTATTTATAAATGAATAATCATGCATGTATTTCTTACAAGTTTGTTAAAAAAAAAACCTAACAAAATTATTTATTTTTACAAAATAGACTAAACTAAACATATTATATATATATCACGAAGCACATGGATCATGTAACAAAAATACAAAAATAAAATACTCTTAAATAAACGAATATAATATACTTTAGGGTATCTTTACTTTCTTTATTGCTGTTTAGAATTTGGCTAACTACAAAATGTCTCTTTTTTCTTTTTTTCCCAAATTTAAAGCCATTATATATTTTTTGATATGCAATGATTGTACTTTAGAACTTAATCATGACCTTATACTATACATGTTGTCCCAATTTTCGTCCTCAATAGTTCTTAAAGCCACTATGTAGAACACTCGTTCGCTAATTAAAAATTTGACCAAGATAATTAGAGACCCAACTTACATATCTTTATGCTTACATTTATTTACTCAAAGTTATAAGCACTTGAAAGAAAAATTTCTTAATTCTTTTTTTTTATTATGGTATAGAATATCTTTCCATTTGTTAGAATTAGAATTAGTCTCTCTTCGGACCTTAACTGTATTAAAGTTATTCCTCTCAGCACTATTTTTTATCAAAAATTTGCAATTTAAAAGCTGAGAGAATAATTATTTCTTATTTGACAAAATAGCGTTTCAGTTATTGAAAAAACGAAAGGAGGTTGTTTTTGACTACGATGTTTTTAAAAGCTGAACTGTTGCAACGAATTCATTACCAGGCCATAGCGAGTTTGATTTTTGGGCTCACGTTAGATCCTTCAATGACAAGTTCAGCCCAGCAAGTTATGAAATGAAAATTACGTATTAATGTCAAGTTTTTTTTTTTTTTCATTAGTTACTAGAATGAAAATTTTCAAATAAAACTACAAAATAATCGTAAATTTTATCTATTAAAAAAATGTAAAAGTTGACCACTGTTATTATTTTTATTATTCAACCAAATGAATAAGCTTCTAATAATTTTGCCTTATCTATATTTGTGCATCCGATTTCTATTGTTTTTCTATTGTCAAATTATTTTCGTCTCCGTCTCTCTTTTCTTTTTCCTTTTGGAATATTCTAAAATCCCCCAATAAGATCTAGTTTAGTTGGTTAACACGAGTATTATAAAATTTTTAATATTAAGTTTGATTTTAATGAATAAAAAATACATCCAAAATTTGAGTTATTTTGCATACTAATTTAATAACCAATCTAATTTTTAAAATATTTTTAAATAAAAAGATAAAATATGATTTGAAAGAAATTAATAATATAAATTAGAAATATAATTTATATGTTAAAGGCTAATTAAAATAACTTTATATATATATATATATATATGAATTCACTTCATTTAAGAGTAAGTATTAATAAACTTATTCGACTTAATAACTTATATTTTACATGAAATTTAAGTGATCCAACAATTAAATCAAAAAAAAATTTAATACATAAATCAAAATTGTAAAAATCTAAAAATTATTTAATATTTTTTAATAATTTAAATTGATGGATAATCATAAAATTATTTTATAAATTAATTTGAATTTAAAAAAATAAAATATTAAATAATTTTTAAATTTGTAATAATTTGATAACTTGATCTATACATTAAAAAATTTTAATTTAATAATTGAATGATTAAAATTTAATATAAAATATAAATTTTAAGTTTCAATGTGTGATTTTATTGTTAAAAAATAGTTTATAAAACTAAGTTAAAATTTACTAAATAAACTCATATATATATATATATATGGAGTGAGAGAGAAATATGTCCACTTATTTCAAAAATAAATATATTTACTTATTTTATTTAATAATTTATATTTTATATTATATTTTAATAACTAATTATTTAATTAAAAAATTAATTTAATAATTGAGTCATTAAAATTTGAGGAAAAGGCAGTGTCCAAGACTTTTGCAATTAAAAATATAACGGGATCTCAATCCGTGTCTATATTAATCGTAAGACCCTATGAACTTTATTTGTAAAAAAATGAAACAACTATGCCTCTTGAAAGTGTAAGTATGGTACTTTGTTATATTAAACATCGATTTCTTGAATTGTGCTGGGTGTTGAGTTCATAATTTGGTAGTAAGAACGATAAAGTTAACCGAGTTCATAAAATGAAACCAAAATTAATTGGCATCGGTATCTCCTAAACAGAAAAAACTGTTACTTCTAGTATATGCATAGTATATATTTTATTTTTATCTGTAACGTGAACGTGCATTTTCAAAAGTAATGTGTTTCATAGGATACATAAATTGTGTTCTTAAAAAACAAAACGAAAAACAAACAAAACATTTTGTCGGTTGCGACATGCATCATTAAAAATATACATAGCCAATTGATGACATCATCCATGGGGTCATCACACGCCATCAAACTATTTGGTATGGTAGCACATTTATGAACACATCAGCGATCAGTTCAGATCTTATCTATATCCCTCTGGATCCAACAAAACAAATAAATCTTTTATAGACCCAACGAACATATCCTATAATTCTTATAAATAAATAATAAAAAAGACACAATCCTTTTTACTAAAAGTGATATGATGATATTAATTTTTAAGTTTATTTCAGAATTTTTTTTTTACCAACTTTCGAAAAAGTAGAAGTTTTTATTCCAAGAAACAAATATACCATTTCTCCATACACACTTATTACTTTGAAATATTTTTCCTTAAAAGGTTACTAAAATTAACATAATACGAAAGCAATGATAAAAAAAATAATTTTGGATATGTGGCAAAATAAGATTGAATCTTCACCGACAAACGTCGACTAAACAATAAAAGTTGTAATAATATATATAGACAAATTTAAGTCCGAATTCTTCGTTATTATTATAACTTTATATAAAAAAAATCTTCACCAACATAGATCAAAAAGCCCTAAATTCGAATAAAGTTACAGGTGAAAAATAAAAATAAAATAAATATTCTTAAAAAATAAATATATACATTAACTGTTGCAATTTTTGTTGAATATTTTATTTTAATTTTTAATTAATATCCTAAAATATTCATTAGCAAGGCTTTAGGTTTTAAAACTCCATTTAATTTCCTTTTTTCTTAAGAAAAAAAAGCTTTTAATGTTCTAAGAAACAGTACTAGAAGAAATTTTAAACACATAAACACAAAAGATTATTTTCCTGAACTACTTGCTTCAATCACTCCTTCAATTTTCTATTACTGAGGTACGGCAAAAAGAAAGATAGAATAGAAGAGATGCAAGCAAGGTCGGCGAGGAAGAGAAAAGAAAAGACATGTGTTATGTGGCCCCATGACAGTGACACCAAAGGCTAGGACAAATGAATCTGCAGAATTTGGCCCAAGCCTTAAGGGAAGCGTGTGCATCACGTAAGTGTCTCACTCCTACTTGTCCCACATCCACACAACTCTCATTAAACAAAAATGTGAAAACCCCTTTGCAAAACTGCCCCTTCCCTCCCTGCACTTGGCTTTCACTCCTTGTAGTAAAATCATCCCAAAGGGCTATTCTAGTCATTTCAAGTGTATCCGACAAAATTTATGACTACCCCACTTGGATAGATAGGGTTGCAACCTGGAAGCATCCATTTGTTTAAGGAAGAAAAAATGGTAGGAAACAACCAAAGTTGACCTTGACCGGCTTACCCACCAAACAAGCCAGCACCCATATTTGACCAGTATGGCATCCAATTAAATGCATAACATGTCCATATGCTCCTCCAATCATCAAATTGGACACATTTTCCATTCAAATATAAATAAGTTCCATTTTCTTATAGGCTGTGTATAATAATATATGCAAGCATGTACCAAAATATAATGTTTAACAAATATAGTTCTACAACTGCACAGTTCTTGTGAAAGTTTTGCTATTTTGGTTGTGAACTGTGAACAGAAAAAAAATTATAAAAAAAAATAATAATAACCTTACAAAAGATTGATATGAGGTTGTCCCCCCAACAAAAGAGAAACCCCAAAGTAATCAAAAAATTCCACCAACACCATGTGTGACAACATACAACAGTTATCAAATATATACTATACCAATCCTGTGGCTGTGTAAATTTACAACAAAACAAACCAAAAAATGCAATAAATGGAATGAACCTTATTTGTCCAATAAATCCTAACCCCCCTTCCAAAAATTTCCAACCTTCAAGAACTACCGAAAAGGAAAAGAAATTCCTTCAGCATAGGAGAGACTCAAGGAACATGTCATCTCTGGGCTCCTCCTTGGCTCTAGAGGAAAAAACATTGTCAGATAGTTGCTGCTGCTGATTCATGTAAGATCCCATTGGATTCCCAAAGCCAGAGAAACCAAAGCTTCCTGAACTCTGAAGCATCTCTAGAGTGAAGGGCGATTGCCCTTCTGGTGGTGCTTGTGGTCTTTGACTCTGAAGAGAATTGTCAGTGTTGTTGTGGATCACTGGCAAGGGCCTTATTGCAGTGGTGGGGTTAGCAGCATTGTTTGGCAGTGGTTTGTTAAGAGAATGGTTGCCACTGCCACGGGCTGCAGGAACATCATGGTTGTGCTTTCCCTCGTAGGTTGTGATCACTGCCCTCAGATCATGTGAGGCTCGTTCCACGTGCTTCCTCACTGGACATCCTGGGTGTGTGCACTTGTAGTAACTCCTACATGTCACAAGTTTAAGCACAACATCAGGCAAGCCAATCTAGGTGTACTGTTTATTCTTCTAAATCACATGCCCGCATGAGAAAAAACAGAAGTTGCCAAATTTGACCAAGGAATTTTAGACAAGGCAAGAAAAACTGGCACAAGTATAATGTACTGTAGAATTTCAAGAAAGAAAACTTTTATCATGGTAAGGTATGAAGAGATAGAGACAAACAAAAAGCACTCATCATGCAGTAATAATGCCACAGTTATAGTCTATACTATATATTATAAAAAATTATATACACTATATCATCCTTTCACAATTGCTATGTTTGGATAGTTATTAATTTTTACGATAATTACCTTAAAATCATGCCTACATGAAATACAATGGAAAACTTTCTACACTAATAATACATATAAAAATTAAACCCTTTATATTATTATTAGCATGAGAATAAGAAATTCCTTAAACGGAGTTTTTAAACTGTCAGTTCTAAATAGAACTTCAAAGTAGAACAAGTTTCAAAAAGTAAGACAAAAGTAAAACCTAAATAAAGTGTATGTTTCTTTTTTCGTTTTTTACCTTGGATTTGGATTTCCCTTCACTACTTTCTGCCCGTATTTTCTCCATCTGTACCCATCATCTAGGATATCAATGTCACTGGTTGTCTGAACTACAACTCTAGGTTCTCTCACTGTTCTACTTCCAGGCGCTGACATACCCTCATTTTCACCTTCAATTTTCCTGAAAAATTAATGAAAAAACTAGTCATGAAATGAACCACGCAAATGATGTTATGCTACCAGGCCAGAGAGTGGATTGAGATAACCTTAATTGTGGTGCAAAGTGGTTAAATAAAAAATAAAAACTCACCATCTTTTAGCCTCAGGTTCATCTTCATCAAACTCATCTCCTCCTGATTTACACTTTTGGGAACTCTGCTCAAAATCATCATCTCCTATTGATATCGATGAGTTTTCTGGGGTGGCAGCTGAATCCATTTGTCCACTGCCATGTGTGGCATATGATTGATCTGGGATTTCAGTGCTAATGGGATTTGAAGGAGGGATTGCAAGAGAAGAGGAAGATGATGAGTTTCTCCTGGTGGATTGAGGCTTGGGATGGTTATGAGTACCCTTATAAACTATCTCAGTAATTTGTCCATCTAAAGACCTCTCAACCTTTTTCTTTGTAGGGCAATTGGGGTATGTGCATTTGTAATAACTTCTTGGATTTTCACTTCCCTTCACTTGTTTTTGGCCATATTTCCTCCAATTGTACCCATCATCTGACCTTCTGCTTAAGGTCTGAGATTGTGGGGGGTAATTGCCATAATCCGATTGAAACCCATTGCTATGGTTAGTTTGGACACTAGCAATCTCAGGGGAAAAACTCTGCATGGAAGAAGAGTTTTCAGTTTTCATCATACTCTTTCCAGAAGAAAAATTATCCTGTTTAGTGGCCTCCTGATAACTCCATGGCTGTTGCTGTTACAAGTATCAGATTCAAAACTTGAGAAAAAAGAAAACTTCTCGTGTAAACCAAAAAAAAAGAAAAAAGATTTTTTTTTTTGCTTAAATGGGTGTAGACATTGAAATTGATCACATACTGTTTGAACTGAGACATTTGAAGATTGAAATGTTGCTGTGGACGAAGCAGTAGGTCCTGGTTGGGTTTGGAAAGAGAAATTTGAGAAGCTTTTGTCTTCTTCTTTGACAATTTGCTGGTTCCCCCCTGAACCACTCTTCCAATTGAAGCTCTGAGCAACAAACGCTCCAGTTGTCGGAGACGGCAGAATCTATAATTAGAAATACAAACCCATTACTTCAACAACAACAAATTTCAAGTAGGAGAGACATGAAACACAAACCTACACACAAGGCAGAACAAAGCACCAAAAATAGAAAACCTCAAGCAAAGCATGTTCAAACTACAAAGTATTATAATTCTCTAGTCCCAACATCCAAACTTGCATGATGAGATTATCCAGTCAAACTCAAGTCATGGTCAAGTACCAATTTGAGAAAACCAAAACGACAAAACAATTCATTTTCCTTTGTTCAAAGGTTTCCTAACACTCCGGATTATGTTAAAATAATGTTATAAGTGCATATTAATCTTTCATTATTCAGCTTTAAGCCACTTTTTCGATATGTTCAAAAAAAGGAAGAAGCTTTTGTGACAACAAAACATGAAGCAAGTTGAGAAGGTGAAACTCACGTTGGAAGAGTTAAGGAGAACGGGGGAGTCAAGAAGCTCAGCAGGGCTCAAACCAGGAGGAATAGCAAAGTAAGAAGAAGGAGAAATGGGAGGAGGAGAGAGAGGCAAAGAAGGTGGTGGTGTGGACTTGAACTTGGGGATACCAGAAGCGGTTCTCTCAGACAAGCCCTGTGGCTTGTTGTTGTCTATGGGAGAGGCAAGAAGGTCAGAGAAGGAAGTGGTCATGAATGGGTGTGTGGAGAAGGTGAAGTTGGTGAAGGAGTTTGCACTTGCAGAGGTGTCTAAGCTACCAGAAGATGATGCCATGAAGGAGGGTGGAGAGAAAATCTTTAAAACTGGGAAATGGAATGGTTTAATATAAAGAGAAAGAAAGGGTCATGAATGTACGTATTGCACAAGGCTTTGGTTTCTATTGGGGGATGATATTTCTGGGAAGGTAAGAAACGAAGCGATGTTTGACCGTGGAAAATATGCCACCGTGTACATCTTTTCTCATTTTTCTTAAAATGCTTTTTTTGGTCAAAACTCGTGGCTTTGACTCCATGGCGGCTCCGCCACCACTGAGTGAGATTTGCTTCTTTCTTTGTGTATAGTGTTAACTGCTATGGCTACGTGTTGTGTGCTAATAATATACACTATTCTTTTTTGTTCCTCTACACTCTACAGTGAACCTAGTAACCTATTACCCACTTTTTAGGTGCTGGAACTTGAGAGCTCAGAATTCAGATTATGTCGTTGCTGTTGTAGATATATATATTCATTATTTTTTTTATTTACTTATATATATTGATTACTTTTATGTGTTGGTCAAGTTTTTTTATTTAAAAAAATATATATGTAGGTCAAGTTATACACTATATTTCATATGCCTTCCAAAAGTTTTATTTAGACTTTAGAGCGTGTAATGGAACTTACTTTTTCCTTTTCTTTTTTAATAGAAAAAACCATACACATACGAGGAATACGAGGAAAAATTAGTTGAAATTAAGTGTAAATTTAAAGAGGTTGGGTTAACTTAATGATTAAGCTCTCACAAGTTACAATGTCACGAATCAAGATTTTAGGGGGTGTATTGGTTTAGGATTTCGTAGGATTTTAAAAGACTTTTTTTGAGTAAAAAAGTCCATTGGTATTCAATCAGGATTTTATGTCACTTAAAAACAATCCAGTGGTATTCAATCTGGATTTTTAGGATTATTTAAAGAGTTTATTAAAATCTACTGGTATTCATTTGAGATTTTTTACAACTTAAAAGAAGTAAGTAACAACGGAATCTGCTTGCATGACTAACCATTGGGATTGCAACTTCACACCAATAGCAAACACAAAAAGAATGGGTCACCTTCACGATAGTATAATGCCTCCATCACAACATTGTTTAAAAAAATAAGTTTATTTGAGGATGTAAATAATGATTCCAACATGTACGAGACATACTAGACACGTAGATTCCTAAAACATGGACACATAGATTAATCTCTAACTAAGTAGAATATTTATTTTACAAATATTAGTATTCAGAATTCGATCTGTTTAATAATATTTAATTGTATATACTAAATTAAAGATATATAAATCTAACAATTGGTATATGTCTCGCACGATGGGAGACATGTTTAGGTCTCCACACTAGAATCCGTCATTATTTTTAATTTATCTTAACTTATACAAATAACTTCTTCATGCAATATTTTTTCATTTTTATGTTAATTGTGTACAATAATATTTATATAATATTATTTTTATGATATTTAAAAAAAAAAAACAAAACTTAAAGTGTAATGGGAGGTGTCAAAAAGTGTAGTATGAATTGTAAAAAAGTAGGGGTGCTTATAAGTAATTTTCATTGGAACAAAAATTGTAAAAATATAGTATGAGTTGCTTATGAGTGACGTAGCACAATGAGACCCATTTAAAGTGGTTGGGAGTTGCTTATAAGCAACTCCCATTATAGATGCTCTAAGCAACCCCACTTGCCATATCAGCCTCACTTTTTCCTTTTTTCTTAAGAACTGGTACTTATATAAACAACTTTGATAAATTTTAAGCAACTCACTTACTCATTTCATGCTGATGTAGCAAGTGAGATTGCTTATAAACAACCCCACTAAAAATGGCCTTATTAGAGGAGTCGATGGAAAGCATGTACAAACACCTATACCTCCCTTTGGATGTATAAGATTTTAATTAAGTGGATACGATTTAATATTATTAAATAGATCAGATTCTTAAATGATACCAATATTTATAAAATAAACATTTCATATAGTTAGAGTTTAATTTATGTATTCATGTTTTGAGAATTTATGTGTCTAATAATTAAGTTTCATAGGTTGTTGTGCTTATTCATATTCTTAAATAAACTCATTTTTTTTAGTAATGTCGTCATGGAGGTATTATTGATTTAAGATATTATATAATTTTAAAATATTTTTTAAATACATATATTCATTGATATTTAATCAAAATTTTTATGATCATTAAAATTTATTAATATTCATTTTGAGATTTTTTATAACTTAAAAACAATCTATTAAAAATTCAATGGATTTTCAAGATTTTTTTTTATAATTTTGTTGCTTCGGAATGGGTACAAAAATGCTATACAGAAAAAATTTCCTAATCGAGGCCGCACATAATTTGTTTGTCAATGAAAGATTAAAGCAAAAGAAGTAAGTAACAACGGAATCTGCTTGCATGACTAACCATTGGGATTGCAACTTCACACCAATAGCAAACACAAAAAGAATGGGTCACCTTCACGATAGTATAATGCCTCCATCACAACATTGTTTAAAAAAATAAGTTTATTTTTGAAAGGGTTGTTTATATTTATTTATATTATATTTAGTATATCTAAAAATTAAATTAAATAAATTGTATAAATTATTGAATCTTATGATGATATATTTTATTGTTGGGATAAAGAAAAATATGGACTAAAAATTTGTAAATACAAATTTCTTTCATAAACGAGTTATACATAAATTTTTTTTTTTCATGCAATCAATTTTTTATTATTTATTTACTGTAGACGTACACATATGCAATGTTTGAATGAAGCGGTGCACTTTAGCTCATGTAATATAAAATAAAAATTATCCACGATGGGTGAAGATGCAACATCATACGATAAGTAGAATACAACTACATTTTTATTTATTAACAATGAAATTGGAAGGAAAAATTCAATGTAGATGGGAAAAAAAATTAATTGTTTCTGCCGTTTGGATTACACAATAATAAAGGAAATGAAAAATAATAAGTGAACACCATGTTAAAAGTTGTGCATTATAATTTTATTTTTATAACATTTATAATTTAAATAATAAAGTTATAAATAATATATAATTTATCAACTTAAAAAAGTATATTATTTTTTTTTCATTTTCTCTCCTACTAAATAAAAAAAAATTCAACTTTTAACCTTTACTTTTTTTTCTCTTTTTTTTTTCTTCTTTAAACCAATTTTATGATTTTATGATTATCTGTCAATTTATAATTAATAAAATGAAGTATTAAATAATTTTAAATTTTAAAAAAATTTGCAAATTTGATTTACATTAAGAATTTTAAATTCAACGGTTGGATCGTTAAAATTTGATGTAAAACAGAAAAATAAACAGATCTCTCCTTAAAAAAGATATATATATTTTTTTTTCATTTTCTCTCCTACTAAACAATAAAAAATAAATTTCAACTTTTAACCTTTACTTTTTTTTTTCCTCTTCTTTTTCTTTCTTTTTCTTCTCTAAATCAAGTACATATTAAGAGAGTATGAAATGATAAGAATATAATAATATTTTATTATAAATTAAATTTTTTCTTTTATCTTTTCATTCAAACCACACAATATTATGATATTGTTTTTTATATCCACTTTTATTTCTCTCAAATAAAAATTCTATAAAAAAGGTTTTTCTAATTCACTTTTATTTTTCTATATCACTTTTAATTCGATAGTTTATAATATCTCAATATATAATTTTAAAGAAATTTGACAAATAAGTCATATAATTTTCTTCCTCCTTTATTTTTTTTTACTAAATTTTATAATCTTCTCAGCATCTTCCCTCCCCTAGTATCCCAAAGTCTTTCCTTCTTTCAACCATTTAAAAATATTAGATAATCTATTGTGTATTAGATATGAATGGCTTTAGGAGTACCATACTTTAGAGAGAGAGAAAGGGTGCACAACAATAACAAATGAATGGCTAAGAAAATTAAAAGAAAAATCTAAGATATCAATGAAGAAGATGAACAAGGCTAACACGATTAAGAAATTTGGTGGGAAAAGAAAGAATAAGAGATACACAATGATGTCTTTATATTTTTACTGCTAAGATTTTTTTTCTTGGAATCTTAGCTTAATCGTTTCTTTTTATTAGTAAAAAAATACCACAATAATGACAATAAATATCCAACTTAAGTGTCATGCATTTACTTTGACCTTTCACTACTAAATTAACTCTAATAATTTATATTGAAAAAATACTATTAATTTAGATTGACATGAATAATAAAAGACTCTCATAATTTTATTAAGTACTAAAGTTCAAATCTTGACTCAAGTTAAGAAAAAATATTTATATATTTTATTTTTGTCAAACTTTCAAATAAGATTAATTTTTATATTTAACAAGATACTCTTTAGTAATAGATAATTTTTTAAAACAAAATTGTTTAATTATAAAATACTTACATTTATTTCAGCTCAATAAAACTAATAAAACCAATTTTTTACACTAAAATTAATAAAAAGTTAATTTGTTATTTATTATAAACAAAACTTAGTATAATAAATAAATTGTACATAAAAATTATATAGTCATATGATATATAAAAAGTCAATGTGTGAGCGTGAGGGCTAAGAAATATATCTGAGACCACAACTTTCTTTCTTCATATTTAAAAAAAAATTATATATATATATATACCTTGATATTATTAATTAAATCATTTAAATTTATATTAATATTTTGTGTTAGATTTTGTATATGATTTCTATGTTATCATTTTCATGTTATCAATATATATATCCAAAATAAACTGTTGAGGCAGTTTTTTTATAGAAACTTAAAATTTTGTGATGGAAATTTGTTTTTTAATTACTTGAAATGTAAGCATAAACGAAATTGTATATTTTAAATTAATTCATTATAAGTGTCGACTATTTTAAATAAAACTAAAAGATGCAATATTAAAGAAAAGTGATTTTTAAAAAAAAATAATTAGAATAAACTCACAATATAAATATTTTTATACTATTTTTAATATATATATACTAAGGAGTACTCTCATACAACAAAAACACAAATAGGTGAAAAGCTTTCAAAAATTAATTATATATA